GGGGGGGGGGGGTTTCGGGTTTTATTAGGTTTTATCGGATTATTCGATTTTTCAAGTTTCACTTTTGTTTAGAGTTAAATGTAAGAATTAAGTCACATTTTAAAAAGAAATTGATTTTGCAATTAGTATTTGTAGAATAGCGTTTGATACAGAGAGAATCTTATAGCGATTTTGGCTGGGATGCACTAGTGACCATAATGGCGTTTAAAATGAAAGATACGGAATTTTTTTCTAAATCCATGATGCATGAAAGTGTCATTAATGAGTTTTCTTCCATTAAATAGTGGAAAATTATGAAAAAAAATTGGAGAAATCAACAAAACTTCCAGAAAAATTCTGCAATTTCTTTTCTAATCTTTTATCTGTCCCTGCTTCTTCTGCTTCTATTGAGCGATTCTTTTCAACATTCGGACTCGTGTGGAGCAAATTACGAAACAGGCTAGGAATCGAGAAGCGATAAAACTTGTTAAAGTTTATCGTTATTTACGTTCCATTGATGACAGCTCACTAGTTATCGATTGGTCTTAATTTAAATTACAATGTTGTTATTTGTTACTTTTGAGTTTGAGTGAAATAAAAATATATAAATATAATAATTTTGAATAGATATTACAGCAGCTTTACAAGTATGTATATTTATTTATGGGACATTTATGTAATAAAAAATCATGAATTTAATAATGCATGAGCCAAATATTTATGTTAATAATAACAAATTTATATCAATTGTCGGTAATGTCAGCGTTCTTGAATTATCTCCGGGCCCTTGGGGGGCCTTTTTATACCGCCGAAAATTTGCCCAGGATTGACGGTCTTTAATAATATCTCGTCGGTGTTATTATATATCGTTATGTCTCGCTCAAACGCATTCATCTGTCCTTATCTAACATATTGCAACGCCATCTCTTAGAAAGAGATCAACTAAAATACTGCTCGGTTTCATGGCTTCACGTCAATTTCACTCGTAATATACAAACGAAATTTTCGGCGACTCTTTTCTCTTATACTAAAGCCCCTACCTCGTTTCTAAAAGCATAGGATTGTTCTTTGAGGTTTTCTGTAGGCTGCTGGCTACTTATTTTAAACGGGTAAAATCTGAAACTCTTATATGCAGTACATATATTGTGACGAGTTGACTGCAGAAGCCGGTGATAAAACTACAATTTTTAATTTTCTTTCATTTTTCGTATTAAATTGTAGCCCGCAGCCTGTGTTGTTGTCGATACTTTAATTGTGGAGAAGGACTTTTCAATCCATAAACACAATTAAGAGAAAAGAGTCTTTAAAAATTAATGGTAAAACAGGACACTCCAGCATCCCCTTATACTTTTCTCTATTATATAAAAAGATATATATATATATATATATATATGTGTGTGTGTGTATATAGTGTATTATATTGCACGGATATTTATATTAACTTATAAAAACCGGAATATTTAGATGTTTCTAGAAATAAATAATAAATCCTTTTTTAATTTACCTTTATTAATAATACAATAGTCCTTGTATATAAACAATGTTTTGCATAATATTTATATAATATTTTTACTATATAAAAATGGAAGAGATTTCTCTAACTTTTCTTATTTGTTGGAGGATTTGGATCAATGACTGGAGGATTTGGTACTACTAGCCAATCAGGATCAACTGGACTATTTGGAAAACCTATTAGTAATTTTGGGACACCAGCAACTACAACAACAAATAGTTTTGCATTTAATTCTACGCCCACCACAAATTTGTTTGGTACTAATACTCAAACAAAGCCATTTGGTAGTAAGTTATTTTGTTTATCCATACACACACATACGACATATACATATTTACATATATACATGTCATAAATTTTATCAATCTATGGTATACATGGTGAATTCGTTCACATGAAATGCATAATGTGAATTTCTATGCTGAAAAAACTTTTCTAGCAAAATTGTATCTGTGCAACAGTTATTAAATGAGAGTAATTTATAAGGCTCCTGAGTAGTCGCCGCGGTCGTGTTGGAATCGTGACGTCAGAAGCGAGAAATAACACGTTAATTTATGTTGCATGCCATTTGTAAATAAAGACGATTTGGGTAAGTCTAAATGACGAGATCGCTTTAAAACACTTGTAAAAATGGACGAAAACTGTCCTTTCCTCCCTTGATAGTCAATAAATGGTCGTAAAAGTTCAACAGCTGTTGAAACGAGTGGAATATACGCTTTTACGTACAAAATTCCAAGATAACTGTAGTTTCCGCCCATTTTTAGGACTTTCATAAGTATGAAACAAGTCACATTTTCACAATTAAGCAAATAATAACGAAATGTCATGCAACATAAATTTCATCGTCAAAACGTCACTTTTCCACGTCTATAGCCTCGTCTACAATAGTCGCACAAGCTGTGTCGCATGTCGTATGAAATATCGCAGAAGTGTCGCATATAGTCGCATGATCGTCGTAGTCGCAAGAGCTCTTGTCGTATGGAGTTGAGCCAACTTCAACTTTCTGCGACTGCACAGGCATGTCGCATGAGCTCAGCCAATCACAGCACAGCAAATTGACGTTTAGAATTTGTCATCGAATTGCGTGCAAACAGTCGTTATGACTATTGTAGACGCTCATTTAGCGACACTATTGCGGCATGCGACAAATTTTCCTGCGATGCTACTACTCGCGACATCCGACACAACCTGTGCGACTATTGTAGACGAGGCTTATAAGTTCAGTTATTTATCGTGGCGAGGCTACACACACACACACACACACACACACACACACACACACACACACACACACACACATCACAAGCGCGAGCCCATGCACAAGTGGCGCGCCGAAAGCACATGTACATAAGCTCGTGCTTGTGTGCGTGGCTACCGATTTCGCCAGGCCGCCGTCTGATTCTGTGTCACCACCGTCAACGCAGAGTTCTTAGCTGAGTACTTAGGAGCCTTAAGTCCGGATCTACAATAGGGTTTTAAGCCTTAAGTCATAAGAAATACGCAAATCACAGTCGCTTATTCTTCTCGGATTCGACTGTAATTGGTCAATTTCTTACGGCTTAAGCCTATTGTAGATCCGGACTAAGAGGTGCCAAACAGTTTGCGGGTTATGGTCGAGCCGTGATCCGCTGCTAAGAGCAATTTAAATTATTTAAAGTTAATTGAAGATTACACGTGAATAACGAATGCTGCAAAATGTTTTACTATTTCTTTGAAAATTTTATAACAAGTATGTATGACTATGATATATATGTATAAATATCGCTATTATTAATACATTAATAAGAGAATTTTCTATCTGAAACAACAACTAAAAGTAAATATAACATGTAAACAGCAATTTTTAAAAGAAGATCCTTATTCGTAGAGCAAGAGATATCAATTGAAAAATTTTCTCTTATAAATTATATCTAAAATAACGATATTTAATATCACAAATAGTTATGAAATCTTTAAAACATGGATTCTCAATGTATGGATTTACTAATGGATCGCGAATGGATTTTTAGTGATACCTCATTATGTATCTGAGAAATAATTTGTAATTTTAAAAAAACATTTTTAAAATTACAAATTACATTTTGCGTACTGTACAAACTTGCGCTCACTAATTCTTTTATGATTTCGTACATCTGTGTTTTCAACAATAATTTAAAAAAGTATTTTAATTGTACGGAAAATTGAATTTGCTGAAATGAGTTAGTTTTTACGATGAAATGTGAAAATCTACTCGATGATATAGCTTGTAATCTGATGAACAAAAGATGTAGATATCAAGTTTAATAATAGATAGATTTTGAGCTATGATGTATTAAAGGTGTAAAAAAAGGAGAAAAAATTGCCAATAGAGAGTCAACGCGGTTAACGATGCGCAAAATTTTATTATTTATTCTGAACTAAAGTGCCGATATTTTGACCAACAATTTCGGTCCTTCTCAATGCAAATTATATAAATAAAAACCTATTCCCCTAATACATAATATGAACAAATATTCTAGAGATAAGGTAGTTACATATTAGCAGCGCATGATATCTTGCATAATGGTCATCTTGTTACTACAAAAGTCTAAGCTCTAAAAAGAAGTCCATTCTTCAAGTGTATTTCCTTTTATACCTAATAATATCTATTATTGACTAATACTAAGCCTAATGTTCATGATTTTTTATTTACCGAATTATAAATTACATTATATGTAAAAATTAACTCGCCCGACTCAATTTTCCATACAATTGATATTATAATTATGATTTCTTTTGAAATCGACTACAGTTACCAAACTCTTTACGCCTGAAAATGATTTGCGTCCATATCGATGTCAAAGTTGTCATCAATACAAATAATAAGCGCTTTCTTTACACATACCTCATTATAAAATTAAATAATTTATAAAATTTTATAAATAAAGAATTCACAAATAGAAGGAATAGTGAGATATAGATAAAATTATATAAATAAAGTGATGCAAATAATCAATATATTATTATTATATAATGTTTGCAGTTTTAAAAAGTGGGTCGCGATCTATACAAGTTTTGGAAGCCTTATTTTAGAGAGATAATAAAATAGTATAAAGGCATATTAGTACCGCTGATTTATACGTAACTTAAATTGTTCTCATTTAAAAACTATTTTATGAAAGGAAAAAGTTGTTTTTTTACGTATAGAATTATACTGTGCATTCTATATGTTCAAATTTTGAGCTTTATCCTGTATAAATATTCTCTAATTATGTTATATTTTTATACATTAATGGAATCTATAAAATTAATATTAAAATATATATGGTAATTAAAAAAATATTGAAACATACATATCTATCCATACACACGCGTACAAATATGTATTTTTACAATTTGACGAAGAAAAAATTATAGAAGATCATGTAATATTTGAATAAACAAAGATTTGTCTGTTTTCTTCAAATATTACATGATTTTTTTGTTCATTATTTACTATTATTTTATTGATAAAGTAGTAAGTGTGTAAAAATATAAGTTTTTAATAAAGTGTACAATTTTATTTATAGCAGCTGCCCCGACGCCGCTTTTTGGCACTAGTAGCACTAATCAAACTGCTGGAACAGGTTTTGGTAGCATTAATACTGGACAAAATACAGGATTTGGATCTACATTTGGTTCCACACCACCTAATCAGGTAATATATAATAAACACATTACATATGTGTAAAAATGAAAATGATACTTATACTTTGTTTATAGAGCATTGGATTGTTCAATCAGAACAAATCTGCTTTTAATATTCCATCGACGTCGACTAGTGCCGTCTTTACTGGTTTTGGTCAACCGGCTACAAATACCACCACACCATTATTTGGTAACAAAACTACTACTACAGGATTTGGAACAACATCTACGTTTGGTGCAGCTGCGTCTTCCACATTCGGAACTAATACAGGTTTTAATTCTGGCACTAATGCTGGGTCTTCATTGTTCAACTCGTCTTTTAAACCGGCTGGACAAACATCAGGGTTTTCATTCGGAACTACACCTGCGTCTTCAAGTGGACTTGGTAATTATTCTTTTTTTTTTTAATACATGATTCAATTTACATATGTTAACGTTAGTGTTGTGCGTATATATATGTGTGATTTAGTCATAAATGTATTAGAAAAATTTTGTAAGCGCGTTCTTCTTAGATCAAAAGGAAGAACTAATGTATAAACTATAAACATTACAATCACAAATAATTCGTTGTCGAAATAATGAAACAAACAAGTTTGAAATAGAATGCATTCGTTTATGCAGTGGATAGCACATCCACTGCTTTCTCATTTGCTAGTCACATGACCTAAATTTATTAAACAGACTTCTGCATGAAAATAGCTGCTCATATTGTATTGGAGCGTTTCTTCCAATAGAAAATCTAGAAAAGCTGAGCTGATTGAAAACTAAGACTCAGAGGTATTATTCTTGAACAAATATCGCAAATAGCAATTCCGTATACCAGTGGTCGCAAGGATTTGCACATTTCGGGCCGATTCCGACGCGCGACCCCCACCACCATACGGCCGAGCCGCCGGGCGGTCACGTGACGCTCTACCTCAGGGGCGCTCCTACACCAGAAATATACTAGGAGCGCGCCTTCCGCCAAATTATTATTGAAATGTTTTTTATGCGACCACTGCCATATACAATCGACCAATCACAATCGAGAAACTGTCATTTTCATATGCGAAAATTATTCATATGTGCTCAAAAATAGGGCCTCAATTTACAACTCATGGTTAACTCTTAACCGAGGTTCAACTTATTTCTTATCTCTTTCCAATTCTAGCATTAGAAAGAGATGAGGAATAAGTTGAATCTCGGTTAAGAGTTAACTGTGAGTTGTAAAATTGAGGCCCTATTTTTGAGCACATATGAATAATTTTCGCATGTGAAAATGACAGTTTCTCGATTGTGATTGGTTGATTGTATACAGCAGTGGTCGCAAGGATTTGTACATTTCGGGCCGATTCCGGCGCGCGACCCCCATCACCGCACGGCCGAGCCGGGCGGTCACGTGACGCTCTGACTCATGAGCGCTCCTATACCAGAAATATACTGGGAACGCGCCTTCCGCCAAATTATTATTGAAATGTTTTTTATTAAATAATTTATATAATTATATCATTTATTTAATAATTTATATAATTATAAATTCTAAATAAAAAATCCTGAAATATTAAATAAACCTCAAAATATTATAAAACTTATTTATAAAAAATTCAATAATCTTATGTGTGTTGATATTTTCAATCTACATTTAAAAGTGATTTTTAGGTTAATCTGATCGCAAATACAAATTAGCGAACTTCATACCTTTTCTATTATATATCTTACGTTGCATTATTTTCACTTTCGTAGGATCGATTTCGACAAATTGTTCTTAACCCTTTTCATTTTTTAATATTTTAATAAAATTCATTTTTAGTAATACAATGTGTTATTATAGCTGGCGGTATTATGAACAATAAGATATCCAACCTGCGAAGGCGACTGCAGCGCGGTTTGTCGTTCGTTTACGCAGTACTGCGAGCAAAGCATCCTGAGCAGATACCCTATTCTGTAACTCGTTAAGATAGTAACGCTTTTTATATTATAAAATATCTGCGCAATGATGTTACTGTCTTAACGAGTTACAGAATAGGATACTAGGAACGGAATTCTGTAATTTGTTATGCAGTCATTATATGTTCATAACGACAGTTGCGCAGATATTTTACATAGTAGTCATTATAAATACGTAACGACTGCATAATGAGTTACAAAATACTGAGTAACTCGTTTTCAGAGATCATTCCCCCCCCCCCCTCCCCCCGTTATGATCAAGTAAGAGAAACTATTTTATGTGCAGGATTGCATTAAAAAATGTTGATTACAGTAAATATTCATTATATAGACATTTAAAAAAAAAGTTTGTTTTATAATTATAAATATTTATAATATATATTTTAAATATTTATTAAATTTCATGTATGTTAGATTAAATCAGATATTATTTGTATTTTTAAATATATATTTTATATCATATTATTGAATTTTACACTATACCAGAATGTAAAATTAAATTTCTCTTGTCTCATTCCCCGCCGGACTTGCGATCTAATCTTATTCTGCGTTACCAGTAAAGCATGCCCCTGCCTATAGGTAACTCGACTTAGGTCCGGTTGTTCCACCTTTTGGTAAATTTTACCTGTTGGGTAAGTAGCAAGATTAACCAATCACATGTGCGTATTGCCAGATTCACCTAACAGGTAAAATTGATCAAAAGGTGGAACAATCAGCCCTTACTGTAGGTTACGGAAGCAATGTACAACCTGTACACGTGTATATCCAATGTTTAAAACCATGATCTCTCTAATTTTTAGTCTTGCGACTTGCGACCCGTGTTCTGCGTCTTATGTAGATCGGACTTAGGGCTGCCGCAGACAAAATTTCTGTAACAGTAATCTTAAGACGTGAACTTAAGCCGGCGAGCCAATCAGGATACTGCTTTAGATCTACGTACTCTAACGGAAATCAAAATAGCAGTAAACATCCATAAGGCGAGTTTCAACCGGTTAAAATTCACCTTATTGCGAAGTTATGGATAAGTTTACTATTATTTCCATTTCCGTTAGATTACGTAGACCTAAAGCAATATCCTGATTGGCTCATCGGCTTAAGTTTACGTCTTACGGTCACTGTTGCGGAATTTTGTGTGCGGCAGCCCTTACTACTCCATCTGTGTAATTAACAGGGAATGGAAAGTTACTTTTTAATAGTAACAAATTACAGTTACTCGTTACCGAGTAGGAAAAGTAACACCGTTACTTGAGAAAGTAACTTTTCGTTACTTTTCCGTTACTTTTTTTTAAATCGACGACCAACAATCACAGCGGACAGGCCTAAAGGCTTCTCTAGCCTCAAGCGCATTGTAAAAAATTGTGTAAAATTACAACTATTATGATGGATAATTTTGAGATCCACTACAATAGTTGTAAACGTCCACACGTTTGTAAATTTGCAATATGCAAATAAAAATGATTTCTTGGTTTGGAACTAAGCAGATTGTGAAAGTACAATTACAATGTGTATGTGTAGCTATAGGAACGATAATATGACAATACATTTCGCATTATATATTATTATACATTTAACAACAATACGCGAACAATTTCATTTATATTACGTAATGTTACTAAAATTTGGATAATTACAGAAAATATTCAAAATATCCTGCTATTTACATAATTTCCAATATAAAATAAGATATATTTATACAATAAAAACAAATTTACATAATTTTTGTGGAATTACATAATTCCTGTAAAATTGCATGATTTTTTATATTTACAGAACTAATCATGTAATTTTACATTTATTTGTGTGTAAATTTACGAAATTTTTTTACAGTGTAAGTGGCTTGTATCGTGTCCATTCATGTGCAAAGTAATGATAAAAGTAACTGTAAAATCCGTTACCGTTACCAAAAAAATGTAACTTCGTTACCGTTACAGTTTTCAAAGAAAAAAATAACGCAGTTACTAGTAAAGTTACCAAAAAAGTAACTTGTAACTGTAACTTCGTTACAAGTAACGAGTTACTTCCATTCCCTGGTAATTAAGTTAGAAGGCTTAAGGGGGCCCGCACACACTTTCCGTAATAGTAATCGTAAGACATAACGTAAGAATTAGTCAATTACAGACAAGAATTTTCAAAAACTTTCAGCTCTGATTGGCTAAATTTAACGGTACGTCTTACGATTACTGTTATGGTAAGTGTATGCGGACCCCCTAAGGCCGTTGCGAATTATATGAAAGGCTTAAGGCCTATTTGAGTATTTACTTTGAATTAATTGATACGATACTATAAGAATTGTGAACAAGCGAAGCCTCTCCGAGGAGTTTATCACTGGATCCTTGGATCTTTCTTTGTATGATACTGTAACTCTTTGTAATAGTCAGAAATTCAAATAGGGGTTTTAAAAAAAAGAATGTAATAATGAAAAAAAAATAGAAGAAACAACTTCCAATGCTGATGACCTTGGCATTACATTATCATGACCTTAATATAAAATTTAATAAAAATCAAAAAGAGATCATGATCCTGAACAACATTAATTTAATTGTGATTGTTAGTCGGACAGTGTTAAAGTCGATGATACTATAACTTTTGAGCTTCGTAACTCGGAAGGTACTTAATGAAAAATTAACCTTTGTTATAGCGCTTTGGAAAATTCTTGAAGTCAGCTACAAAGATATACAATAAAAAATAGAAATTTTCATTAAAAAATTTCAAATTAGTTTTTATGTGACTTGGTGCTTTCCAGCAAGCGACACAATATGACACAGTGATCATGTCATCTTTGTTTAACAAACAACAAGGATACTTCACTCTGTTACACTGACTATATTTACATGGATCATGGTCATTCCATTCTTCAGAGGAATAGCTATGATTGGCCAGTATCATAACTACGAATATTATTAAACCCTATTAACCCCTTGAGTGTCAGTGACGCACATATGCGCAGAAAAAAGTCGTGCCATTTTCGTCTCATGACGCATATGTGCGCATTTGAAAAAAAACATGTTTATACTTCATCGATTCGACTGTAATTTATTAAATCAAGTTTTTGAGGTCGCTGAATCCAAATTTAAAATCGGATTTTCAAAATTCAAAATGGCGGATCCAATATGGCGGACGCAAGTTCGAAAAATGATTTGATTTCTACAAAAATTTGTATCTCTAGAAGTTCGTGATCGCGAATTTAGAATTTGAATCCTGACTCTAAGTATCTGAAACTCGGATACATTATGATGAATAAAAATTCAGCAAACCATTCATGGCAAATTATCTATCGTAAAAAATGTAAAAGAATTTTTTTTTGTTTTTATATCCCGCTCTCTGCCGAACCCAGAGTCACGAATCGAGGACATGGCGGTTGTTGACTCCGTTTTTTTTTACTTTTTGTATTTTTTTAATTTTTTTGGTGCTTTTGGCGTTTTTAAATTTTTTATTATTTTTATTTCCATTATGATTTTATTCTTTTTTTTGTTTTTTCTTTTTTGAAAATCCGATTTCAGATTCGGATTCAGCGACCTCCAAAACCATAACACTAAAATTATAGGATAAATCAATGAAAATTTTTTTCCAAGACAAAAATGGCACGAAAAACTGATTTTCGCCTGACAGCTAAGGGGTTAAGGGTGTCCGTGTAAACGTTGTATGAGAGCAAATGTGGCAGAATAGACAGCACACTGGTCTGCTATGCTAGAGATCCCGGGTTCGATTCCCATAAAACCAAAATATTTTCATACACTCTCGGAAGGAAGCAGCAATCCATCGAGAGTATCCTTGCCAAGAATACTCTCTAAACAAAAACTTTGTTGTTCAGAATCGACATTAAACCGTAGGTCCCATATGAACTGTGTACGACCAGCGTGCGCACCACAGGCATATAAGAGAAGTCACCACGCTCGGACACGAGCAACAGGACTAAAGGGTAAACGTAGTCACTGTGTCATCTGTGTCTTTTGGAAAACATCCTTTAATAACGTTATTCAAGGCCATACTAACATGCTGTCTAACACGTCCCTACATTTTTGTCTGGAACATATGCATTTTTCGAAAAACGAGCTTGATACAGTCGTTCTATTATAGCTTGTATATGAATATGTGTGCGAATGTGTATATAATATATGTACATATGTATATATGTGTATAGGCACGAGTACTGGTTTAAATTTGAGCGGTGGTTCTTCATTATTTGGGCAACAAAAGCCAGGCAGTTTGTTTGGAAATGCTGGAAATAATACAACGTTTAACACTTCCGGAACATTTGGTTCTTCTACTTTTGGAACGACCTCTAATATGATATCTGGAACAGGAATGAGCTCGCTCAGCGGAGGGTAATGCAATATTTATGCTCTAATTTTATTAAAGACCGTTTTACAATTGCGTGAATCATAGTTGGTTATAAAGTGTCGTAAGATGTAGTTGTAAACTAGTATTGCCAGTTGTAAAATATGTTGTGAAAGATGGTTTAATTTCATCTTTTATAACTACGATGGTGTAAGGTATAAAAGTTAACCAATCCGAGTGCTGTTATGCACGTGTTCATGTCACCAGCATTTTTTTGTCGATAACATGACAACTCGTATCATGTCAAGCTTTTTATTGTATTGTTTTTGGTTATATTATGATATATCATGGAATATAAACGAAGAGAATACTGTTCTGAGAAATATTCAATTTGGAGATGAAAGTTCAAACTGATTGTCATAATCAAGTTACTACGTATCTTTAACCTCTATTTTAAGTCTGATTTTTTATTTTCTGGTCAATTTGTGATTAGACTTAATCTGATGTTTTATCTAATGGGCTTCATCTGTGATGATGTTATGGGTGAAGCTCATTGGGTGAAACATCAGGTTAAGCTTAACCCAATCTGATAGCTTGACTTAGCTAATTAAGTTAACCAAGTAATGAAAAATTGGGCCTTAGATTAATTTATTGTATATTCACTATTATTACTACTACTTCCTCTCTTATGTTTATGTAATTATAGAACGGCCTTTATTCTTTTTCATTAATATATCTAATTTTATTAATTTCAATTAAAAGCTTGTTTAGTTATTTAAATATTTAATAATTAGATTGAATAAGTATTACAAATTTACCTTAGAATGGCAAACCAAACTAAAACAAACGGTTCAGTACCAGTACATCAGCAAATTTTGGCTCTCGTTTCTGCACCATTCGGTGATTCACCATTATTGAAGAATCTTTTACCAGTAAGTACCTTGTCGATTTATTGAAAGAAGTATTGTAATTTTTGGTTGTAATGTGTATCTTTATAGGCATCTGGGAAGACTGAGGAACTTTTAAAACCTACAAATCCAGCATCGAAAGTATTGAACAGTCCGCAATATAGAGTTACTGCAAATAATAAATCTCCGAAAATTAAAGCTAGAGTTGTCAGTTCTACACAACTATCTAAGGTAAATGAGGGGGTTAAAAAATTATTTTTACCCTCAAATTATACTTGAATAGATTTTTAAAAAATCATTGTTGGGTAAATCCTCAAACAGGAAATAACAATCGTTTCTCTGAGAAGTGATGGAAACATTACTAAAATGGCTTAAATATAGCAAAAATAGTATTATTCACATTTACGACAAATAATGGGAAAATCATAATTTTAGCCAGAAATGTAAGTACATTCTGCATATAAAAATCGCGGACTATTTTAACACTATCCAAGATGCTCCGCGTGGAGATATACAGTTCGCCTAACATCCCGTGATAAATTAGAACCCCACAGTTCATTCCTATGGTATTTATTGATATTGAACTCTACTTCGTGTGCGTGTGTGCGTGCGTGCTTATGATGTAGATATAATGGGAACGAATTTACATTTCATCTGCTTTCGTTCAGAATCTGGTGATGATAATGATTTTTTTTTTTTTTTTTTTTTCAAAATAACTCAAGAAATTGACCACGGAAATATTTTTTTGAAATCAAGCTTTATCAAGAGTAATTTTTCGGTGAAGCTCGATTTTAAGAAAACATCTCGATCCCTTAATTTCTTGATGGTTATTTTAAGGAAATCATTATTGTACCATCAGATTATGATAAAAGTGTAAATGAAATGAAAATTCACACTTCATCTGCATTTCACACGCGCGCGCGCGTACACACAGCAGAGAGGGATACAGACCGTACCTCCACGTGATGCATCCTAGATAGTGCTAAAGTGATTCTTTACATACAGAAAGTACTTACATTTCTGGCTAAAATTATAATTTTGCAATTAATAACCGTATATGAGAGAATAATGACATTTTTTACTATATTTAAGGCATTTTTTCCACTAGCAATGTTCCCACTACTTCTCAGTTTGTTATTTTTGATTTGAAAAAACGATTGTTATTTTCTATGTTTTGAAGACCCAAACATTTTTCAAGATTCATTCGGGTGTAATTTGAGAACTTTAAAACACCTCTTTTAATATCTTCTTTTATTAAGTTAGTTTTTAAATATTTAAATATAGAATATGGTTATAAAATATTTCTTTTAAATCATTATTAAATGGAATATTAAATTATTTTACGAAATGCCTTTCCAGAAATCTTTGTTTGATGGTCTCGAAGAAGAGGATCCCGTGATAACCGAGGCTTTTCAACCTCGGCCAAGTGCAAAACGTTTAGTATTACGACCGAAATTAGCGACAAATTCTTCGATTCAATCTCCCATAGAAAATGTGGAATCCGTGACAAATGATACCGCAGATGATAGGACAGATACAAATATAATACATAGTAACAATATTGAAGTCAGTGACAAAGAAAATCACAGCCAAGATAATAATCGATTTGCGAATGATCGACGATCATCTACATCTTGGTAATGCAAAATATATTTTTCGGATCTTCATATCTCGAATTTGTTTAAGTTAATACAAACATAAAAAAAATATATTTGAATATCTTTAAATGTAATTTACACAGGTTAAAGTCAACACTTCCGCGGAAGAATAAAATTTCAAATGATGAATTGCTTGAGGGGCAGCAATCACCCTTTTCTGGAACAAATGTATCCGAAGAGATGAATAATACAGTGGTCGAATTAAGAACGCAAAATAATATATCAAATCATTCAGAACCGATTAATTTGATCGAAGTGCCACTAAATTCTACTTTTGATGAGAAAAATTCTGTGAATCTTACCATGCAAAGTGCAGGTAAACTATTAAATAATTTATAATAACTATTAAATAATTTATAAATTATATTGTCATTTACTATTTAATATGATTATAAAATGGTATAGATTTATATACAGTATCGCTCAAAATTGTATCACCTTTCAATTTTTTGAGCATAACTTTTGTCAAAGTGAATCGAATGCGCTTAAATTTTTACAGTAAGCACTTGGTGACAGGTGTACCTTGTATGTAAAGTATAATGAGATTTGACAATGTATACCGTAATTTTTTAAATTTTTTACTAATTTTCCCAAAATCGCATTATTGTACTTTCTTTACTTTTCATGATACAACCGTAGTTTTTACTTCCATGATCTAATTTTAATAGTTAGATTTACCGTTTTACATCATGACAAATACTTGTTGTATTTGGTTGTATCATGAAAAGTAAAGAAAGTACAATAATGCGATTTTGGGAAAATTAATAAAAAATTAAAAATCACGGTGTACATTGTCAAATCTCATTATACTTTACATACAGACACCTGCCACCAAGTGTCTACTAAAAATTTGAGCGCATTCGATTCACTTCGACAAAAGTTATGCTCAAAAAATCGAAAGATGATACAATTTTGAGCGGTACTGTATATAGTTAATTTTCAAAGTAACCAAACAAATTTTTTTCAAAGACATGAGAAATTCTTTTACATGTTATTTTAAATTTTTGTTCTATAATTTTCCAAGAATCCGGCCAGGAAACGGATGAAAATTCATTTTCGATGTTACAATCAAACTGGTCTATGAACATGGCTAAAGTTACATTACGACGAGCAGGCTATTATACCATTCCATCGCTCGATAAACTAGACGATTTCGTTTGCGGCGAGACGTGCATCGTACCGAACTTTACCATCGGCCGTGAGGGTTATGGCAACGTATACTTTCCGGATTCGTTTGATATTTATGGCTTGAATCTTGATGAAATCGGTAATTTGCATAAATATATTAATTAATATATTGATATATTAACTTTTTATAAATATTTTGTAATATATTGCGTTGTATTTTTCAATTTCACTATAATTAATATATTCTACTGCGACTATATTATATTTATATACTATGATATACTCTGTATATAAACATCTTTCTTTGGAAGAAGAATTATATTTACATATTATATGTGACTGGTATACCATTGCCATTACAGTACATTTTCGTCATAAAGAGGTGATTATTTATCCCGACGATGAGAAGAAGCCACCAGTGGGACAAGGCCTGAATCGAAAGGCACAGGTCACCTTGGATAAGGTATGGCCGCATGACAAATCGCTGCATGAGCCGATTATGGATCCACAGCGACTCGCCGCGATGAACTACGAAGGGAAATTACGTAGAGTATCCGCGAAGCACGACACCCGTTTCCTCGAGTATCGGCCGGAAACTGGCTCATGGGTATTCAAGGTCGACCACTTTTCCAAGTATGGTCTCAGTGATTCAGACGAGGATGACAATCAGATCCCGTCAACTTCAGAAGCAAAAAAATTGAAGGGATTCTCCACGGCCATACAAAAGGGCAAGCTGGTTGATCCATCGACGGTGATAAATAAGGAAGCGATCAATGGAGCGATCAATGGAACGCTTGACGGTACGAAAATCGGAAACAGCAAGCATCTGAGTATGATCGAGAGCAATTTTTTAGGAAAGGTCCCAATTGACCATTTTACCTACAACGATCACAATTACGAGGAACGAGGAATGATCGTCAGTCCAGTCGAGGAAACTCCATTTGGTTGTTCTGGCTTTGTTCCTGGAGATTACAATTACGAAAAACGAATGACCATTAGTCCGATCGGTGATAACGCTCGTGTAACCGGTACAGACAGTCATAAGTTACAGCTTATGAAAGCAAGCTTTTTCGACGTAAACGATGAAGATGTAAACGACGGAACAAGCAATGGTATTTTCTCTTCCGTACAGAAAACTTTGACAAGCTATTTCCCAGATATTACAGAAATCAAGAATGACGAAGTTCCATACAACGCTACGACTTTACGAGCGACTCTTATCGCAAATAAAGCACTATCTGCGTGTCCGGAAAACGTGCTTTACACATCGAGCAGAAAGTCACATTTACCTTGTATCGGTGTCAAAGACAAACAGTTTATTGAAAAAGCTATTCCACCACCTGTGATTACACCAGTGACAAACGTGTTGAAGTATCACTATGAGGTTGTTCCGCTTGAAGAGTCCAGGTTGAATAAGTTGCGATTTCGTTGCGTTGCCGACACCGGTATATACATGGGCAGGACGTTTCGACCAAGTTGGGGTGCCGGTCTGACATTGTTATCTCTGAGCACGCAGGAACAGGCAATCAAGATGCAACTAAAAAACACATTTAGTCAATTAAGCCGTTACGTCTCTGGTCGTCTGTCAGACGATGTCTCATCGACTGTAATTGTTCAACGTTTACAGATCGTAGGTGGTGACGAGTATGACACGAAGATGTTCAAGGATAGTATAGAATGTCACTTGAGAATCCAACTGGATCATTGCGTGATGGGTCATGAGGGAGACTGTCCCACGTTTGACGTAACGACTGACAGTGCGAACGAAGCGTTGCGATTACATTGTACGTTAGCGCAGGATCTTGCTGAAAAGGAACAAAGACCAAGCGAGGATGCCAATGATGAACAGATGCAGTGTGGCAGCGCCACCGAAAGATTATATCGTCAGTACGCGAGTATTGTGTGGACTTTATGCGTAGCACTCTGGGGAAATTACATCGATCAAGACACAGCTAATAACGCCAATGAGGAACATTATAACGTCATAGTGAGAAGAGAAGCCGTAGGCGAGTGGTTAAGGAATGTGGTCCAGAAAACGATCGAACGAGAGATCAAAAACATCGACATTGTAACTAAGAATTCTCACGAGAAAATAATATTGTCGCTGCTTTCTGCTTGCAAACTGGAGGATGCTTGTCAGGAAGCACGGAAAGCCGGAGATCACTGTCTGGCATTATTGATGGCGCAATTACGAAGTGGTGCGACAGTCAAGAAACTGATTAAACAACAACTTGCGTTATGGCAAGAAACCGATGTAGACGAACATCTCACAATTGATCGTCTAAAGCTATTCATGTTGGTTGCGGGTGAACCGCTTATCTCCAGCAAACACGGCACCATTAATGTGTGCGAGGATCTGGACTGGAAGCGGGCATTTGCCATTCATCTATGGTATTTGTCACCGCCAACTTCCTCGATCACTGATGCCTTAGATCTCTATGAAGCATCTTTCAATACAACGGAAGCTCAAGCGTACGCGGCAATTCCTGAACCTGAGTATAAAGAGAACGATTACGACGCCGAGTTAAATAACGGCAAACGGATACACGATCTCTGTTTTCAACTTTTAAAATTGTATTGCACGGGAAATCATGATTTGGGCGAACTTCTGAATCCACTATCATATACCGCCAATCCTTTGGATTACAGATTGAGGTAATTTCGTATTATAGCAATATCCCAGTAGAAACAGTATAGGTATAATGAGGCATATATAAAATCGAGATAACATCAAAGCTATATATAATCTATTTCTTTCTATTTAATTATAAATACTTTTAATTTTTACACAAATTTATATGCGTGTATCCATACATAAAAACAAAAGCATGCACAAATTAATTCGCAGGTGATAATGTGTAAATAACACTGTTTAACAAAAAAAAATACAAGAACGAAAGTAATCATTTCCTATATTTTTTTAGGTTGAATATAACTTTGTTTATTAAATTCCTCTACCAAATTACAATTTTAAGAAAGACTGCTCATTTTTATGTGAGTTCTCTTACATTTAGTAACTTCGAAATTTAACTAAAATAAAATATAGGATCAAAATGTTTCACAAATACAATCCTCTAAGTTCATTCCGAGATATACTCTTTGAAACATTGGACACATTTTGACATGAATGTAAAATATTTCATAAACTTTTCATTTTTTAATAACTATATCTTAATACTTTTATGCATAAAATAATGAGATGAATCAATTTGTGTAAAGAAAACACATAGTTGTTTATTTAAAATCCATTTGCATACATATTTTTTCTAAAGCAATTATGTGTTTTCTTTACACCAATTGATTTATCTCATTATTTTGTTCATAAAAATATTAAGTACGATTATAAAAAAAAACAAAAAGTTAAAGCTTGTAATTGGTTGAAGCTGGATTTTAGATGCTTAAATAATTTGCGTGTAAATTTATATACTACGTATGTAGTATTTGAACTGCGCGCCGAATTGACTTTTCGAACTTAGAAACGCAACTGAATTACTGTAATATCACAAATTAAAACAATTAATAAAATCATAAAATATATATTACAGGCAATAGGTTTATATAGCTCGACGCTGGTTATCAATTAGCACAATTTTTCTTAATACTAAAAATATAAACCTTAACTTTGAACGTTTCCACTCATAGTTTGTCATGCAATATTCCAATCGTTGCGCTAGGGTGCAAGATAGATTGCTGATGAAGACTCAAACCATGAGTGGAAATGTTCAAAATTAAGGTTTATACTTTAATATTAAGAAAAATAGCGCTAATTGATAACCAGCGTCGACTCCTATTGCCTGTAATATATATTTTATGATTTTATTAATTGTTTTAATTAAAAGAGTCTGCAAAAACTCATTAGTTTTTTGCTAATTTGTAATTTATCATCACAAATGAAATTGACAAGCAATTTAATAATTTGATACTTAAACAGGCATCCTATTAGAAAGATGTTAATGTGCTGAAATCTGTAAATAAACTTATTGCGAAAAATTAATTTACTGCAAAAAACATTACCTCGGCTGGGAGTCGAACTCGGATCTCTAGCGTTCCGTACGAGCGTTCTAAACCTTTAGAATCTTTAGACCACCAAGATCGAAATACTAGAGATCCCGGGTTCGACTCCCGGCCGAGATAATATTTTTTGCAATAAATTTATTTACAGATGGATGCTCGATTGAGAACAAATTAAATCGCTTGTCAATTTAATTTGTGACGAACAATATTAAGACTAAGAATGACCGTATATGAATACATCAAATACGATAGAGAACGCCATTAGCGATCAAAGTTAGATGTTTCGAATAATACAATATATATCTATTCTTTATTAAATCAATTTATTTCAGATATGATTGTGCACCGATAACTTAAGGATTTTCAACACAATCAGTCTGAAACGCTAATAATTCCCTCTAAATTAAATTAGAAAAACTGTACAGAACTTATTGTGAAAAATATTACGTCAACCAGGATTTGAACCTGAGGAAAGGTCCCAATGTGAGGAATAAATGCTCCCTTTTGCCCTCTCTTCTGGACGCCCATGCTCAAATATATATATAACTTTCATAAAAGTAAACGTATCGTAAACATTTTTTTTCAATTAAAACATCAGATATTAAAAAACTTGACGATTCCAGAAAATGTATGTATCTTTATTAAGAAAAAGTTATGAGAGAGAGAGAGAGAGAGAGAGAGAGAGAGAGAGAGAGAGCATACATTAAAAGAAACATTAAAAAAGAAAGCTGGATATGCCATACCCAGAGTATCGAATGGTTAATCATAAATATTTTTTTAATTGTAATCGACATAACGAATTTCTTTTAAAAATTGAAAGAAGTCCTAACAACATATTTAATTTTGATTGCAATGAAACCTCTTCAACACGTGACATATCGTGGTTGTAATAAAATCGGTATACAAAAGTTGTTCTTTTTTAAAACTTTAATCACAAACCTTCCAAAATTGTGACACGATAGAGGAATTTGATAAATAGGATCGTATTCATCGCCCAAAAAATTACGGAAAACAATTTCCTTTGTTGTTCAAAAAATAAATTTTTTTTATTTAACAGTGTAATTAGTCTAAGTATTTAGACTTAGTAATTATTCTAGTGTATATTAAGGAAGTGCTAATTAACAGAACATTTCTCAATCTTTATAAATAATCGTTTTCAGTATGATGACACAATTTTTTTACACAGAGTGAGAAAAAATATGGAACTGGTAAAATATTTCGGGAAAAAAGGTATTGGAGAAAAAAAATGTTTCATATAAAAGTAATAAGGTTTCAACAAATGCATCAAACAGCGATACTTATTTATTAAAATTGGCCTTCAGAGCTCTTTCGTACTTACACTCAAGGTCAAATAAGTATCACCGTTTAATGCATTTGTTAAAACTTCATTTTATATGAAATATTTTTCTCTCCAACGTCTTATTTTCGAGATATTTTTCGAGATCGGTTCCATATTTTTTCCTCTCTCTGTATATTATACTTTATAATATATTATCCTGACAGTTGGTTGATGCAACAAACACTCGTAGCTTTGGGCTACACGCATCTCTCTGATCATGTTGCTGCATTAACACATACAAACTTTGCGACACAATTGGAGGCACATGGACTTTGGCATTGGGCAATATTCGTAGTATTACACCTACGAGATTCGTCTAGGCGACGAATTGCTGTGCAAGACTTGCTGTTACGTCACATAGAAATAGAGGACACTCCGGAATACGTGAAGCATGAGCAATTCTTGAAAGAAGAGCTTGGTATATCATTGGTTTGGATTCATCAAGCCAAAGCTATTAAAAGTAGCATCAATAAGAGGTATTTGACAATATATTTGGATAAATTCATATACTTAAATTTTAAAAAATTTAAAAAGATTGTTACATTTGTTAATTAGAATAAAACTCTGAGCATATTTAAAGAAAATTGACACTTTTGCAGGTATGGCGAAGCAGCTTGGTATTACATTCAGGCGGAACAGTGGACCCAAGCCCATGAAATTATTATAGAGCATTTGGCAGCTGATGCTATAATAAATGGTATCGGTTTCTTGTACAAAATTGTTAAATAGCTTCGGGAGTATTGGGATAGCAAGATATTTTGAAATAAAATTTTAAAAGTATTTAACTTAGTTGCTGGGTATCGAGCTGGGATTAAGTCATACATTAGATGAATATAACAATTTGACCTAAGTCTTCAAGGTCTGCTAAAGATTATCTTTAGAGTTTAAATGGAACCTTCTTATTTTTTATTGCATATTCTTGTAACCTTTTCAAAATACTAATCGTAAACATTTTTTTAACTAGTGTTTTGGAAGAACTTAAGTTTTCAAAGTTTCAATTTTTGTGAATGTTGGGTGCTTGTATCGTTCAACGTGAATTTTTATCGTTTCGGCAATTATGTCGATTTACATTAATTACAATTAAATTCAATCCGACGATCAAAATTATTATTTATATAATAATCCTTGAATCAAGTGAATTTGTGAATGAATGATATTTATTCTTTTTTAAGATGTTATGCATTGACCCAATAATTATGACCAATTTATGACCAGTATTTCAAAAAAATGGCTCGACAATTGCTATGACAATACGTAATAAAAAGTAGAAGAGGGTTTCATTTAAAATACTTGACACAATCTCCTTGGAAATTTTGTTCAAGATCAAATAGCAGTACCCATCTAACGCATTACTTGATAACTTTTTTATTTAATATTTTTCTTTCAAAAAAATTTTTATTTTCGAGATATCTTATCGTCTCAGGACTTTATAAACACTCTACATCAGTACGTTATAAACAATTTTATTTAATATTTTATGTTGCAGAAAACTACGAATATTTGAAATCATTATTAAGTTCACTAGTACCAATTGAATGTAGCAGCACGATTAGCGGATGGTCATATCAAGGACAGCTCTTATGGGAATATATGGAAATAACTAGCGAGATTCAGAGTCTGTTAAAATCCGCTCCTGACTACTGTGGACTAACTTATCAACTGGAAACTCTGAAACCTCGATTAACGAACTTATGTCATAAAATTGATCAATTCCCATGTTTAACTGCTAAACATAAGTATGGCAAATACATATTATTGCAAGCTGTTACTTCTTTATACTGTGTAACTAAGGCATTTTTTCCGTATTTCTAGATTATGCCAAGCTGAAATTGCAAAAAGGACTCTACATTTAGCTAGAAATATGCTATTGCTGCAGAAAAATGAGCAAAGATCTGTCACGAAGTTATTGGTCCGTCTGATATCTCAGTTACCATTACCGGAAGATTATGCACAACAGGAACTGCGACCCATCGTTAATATGCGTGTAACAGAAGTGATGCCATAATGCGAAATAATATATAAGTTAATTTATCGGTCACATAGTTGTGTAAAGTTCTTTTATTAACGGACCTATTTTTTTCTACACACGCCTGCAAGCTGTAATTTCACACGGAAAATAAGCATAAAATTTTTTGAAGAATCTTTTAGTAATTCTGATACAATATATACAAACAGCAGGTCGCGGTGCACTAATAAATTGCGTGATTCATACAGTAGATAAAGATGAAATTATAAATACTTAGCAAAAATATACATCAATATGTGATACTATTTAAGTCTTTCTTACATTTTTTATCGATTCAAAATTGTCTCGTGATTTAAGAATAACTAAAAGTATGAAGATATGTAATACGTAATCAAGTATAATCGATCGCGGTTCAGTGGAAACATTCTGTATTTTGCAGAGAAATATTTCTATTATATCGTGGTTCTTCCTTGTATAATTTATATTGTTGCGTTTGAATAACATAGACAAGTCAAATATTTTCTAAGATGCACAGTTATACAGGTATATGAAAAGTAACTTGTATGTATTACATGTGCGCTCATCATAATATGTATAATGTATATACTATCTGTTTCCACATCGATTTTTTCGTCTTTTCGAACATTTTTTTGCATATTAACGAGAAGTTTAGATAAAAGTAACGAGTATAATTAGCGCGAGTATAAATTATTGCACATAATGGACTTGTATTCTATATTACGCCACTAAGTTGGACATGAAAAAATGTATCTTGTGAAAACTTATTAATGTAACGTGCATAATAGATTTTTTCATTATTAAGGCTCCTGAGTAGTCACCATAGCCATATTGAATTTTGACGTCAGTAACAAAAATTAACATGTCATTCTCGCTTCTCATATCATGATTCAACATGGCTGTGGTGATTACTCAGGAACCTTAAAACATAAGGTCTGTTCTTTATTTCTGCAATGTTTGAACTGGTGTATAAGATACAATAAGTTGAAGCGAAACATATATTTGTTTCACTTCAACTTATTGCGTTGTGTGCACCAATTCAGGTAGTGCTGGAATAAAGAACAAACCTTTATCAAGAGAAAAAAAGAAATCAGTATATAGCTGCAAACACAAAAAAGAGTAAGATACGTATATGTGTAAGAAATATTTGTAAAAATAAAATAAGTTTTCACTCTTTTAAAGTTGAAATAAATAAATAAGATATTTACATATGATTTCTGTGTATTACAAACGAAAAATTAAATGAATTCAGATATAAATAAATATACAAATTCTGTCTTTTGCATCTAATTTTTTTCAATGATTTACTACTTAAAAATTTTTCTGCATGTTTGCAATCTTGTACTAGGTGTACAACTTTGCTTCCGCCGTTTTCATATAGATGGCTTTAGCGGTAAGTGGTGGTCGAAATAAATAGATCATAAACGTCATACAATAAGCTTGGGCATCTGTCAACATATTAACATAACCCCATAGAAACATTAGTCGATTTGTGCCCGCATCATAAAGTAATTCTCGATTGAAAATGTCAGTTTACGAGCCAAATTCTCGTCATTTGCGGGAGATTTTAATTTTCTGCTTCAATATGAAGAAATCTGCGGCTGAGACTCATCGAATGCTCTCAAATACTTATGGTGAGGCCGCTATTAGTGAAAGAATGTGTCGTAAATGGTTTCAACGCTTCAAGAACGGTAATTTTGACGTCGAAGACCGGCATAGCGGTGGAAGAGAGGTTTTCGAAGATGCAGAATTGGAGGCATTACTTGATCAAGATTCGTGTCAAAATCAAGAAGAATTGGCACAATCATTGGGAGTGACTCAACAAGCCATTTCAAAACGCCTCAAAGCCATGGGAATGATTTAGAAGCAAGGAAATTGGGTGCCGTACGAGTTGAAGCCGAGAGATGTTGAACGGCGTTTGTTTGCTTGTGAACAGCTGCTTGAAAGGCAAAGACGGAAGGGATTCCTGCATCGCATTGTGACTGGGGACGAAAAATGGGTTCATTACGATAACCCCAAGCGCAGAATATCATGGAGAGTTCCCGGCCATGCTTCCATGTCAACGGCCAAACCGAATATTTACGGCTCCAAGGTCATGCTCTGTATTTGGTGGGACCAGCTCAGCGTAGTGTGTATTATGAGCTGTTAAAACCGACTGAAACAATCACAGGCGATCGGTATCGAACGCAATTGATGCGTTTTAGCCAAACATTGAAAGACAAACGGCCGCAATACAACGAGAGACACGATAAAGTGATTTTGCAGCATGGCAATGCTCGATCTCATGTTGGGAAAGTACAAGACATACTTGGAAACGTTGAAATGGGAAGTCCCACCCCACCCGCCGTATTCTCCAGACGTTGCTCCCTGACTATCACTTGTTTTGATCAATGGCACACGCCTGGCTGACCAGCACTTCCGGTCTTATGAAGAAGTAAAAAATTGGATCGATTCGTGGATCGTCTCAAAAGGTGACCAGTTTTTTCGACGCGGGATTCGTACACTGCCCGAAAGATGGGAGAAAGTAGTGGCCAGCGATGGACAATACTTTGAATCACAAATGTATAACAAATTTTTTACAATAAAGCCTCGAATTTCGGAAAAAAAACGGCGGAAGCAAAGTTGTATACCTAATAATTTTTTATTAAATTTAGAATTCAATAGTATAGTGATTTATAAAATATACAACTACGTGCACATATATAAAATATACAACTACGCAACCTATTGGTGAAATTAGAAAAAGACTAAATCATACTAGTCGCAGTTTTACATAAAGGTTAGTCATTTCGCAAAAAGGCACATGCACATCTTTGTATTAGAGAGATCTAAAATTTTTCAGTTTTATAATTATTGAATTTATAAACGCAGATTTTTTTTTATTGAAAATCATTTTCGTGTAAATATAAAGAACATTTGACTTTCATTCTTTAGGGTCTTTCACCAATCTCGGTTAAATTAACCGACGGTTACATGAGGCTCATTTAAGCCCAGTTTCACAATTCACAGGTAAGGGACTCACAATAAAAGGTAACGCACAATAAAAGGAACAGGGAACAGAGAACAGAGAATAAGAATTTCAACCTATCAGAAATCATGTATTGTGGAATACGCAGTGTGTATTTCACAATACATGATTTCTGATAGGTTGAAATTCTTATTCTTTGTTCTCTGTTCCCTGTTCCTTTTATTGTGCGGAGCCCCTAACTCTTAACCGAGGTTCAACTTATTCATTATCTCTTTCCAATTCTAGAATTGGAAAGAAATGAGAAACAAGTTGAACCTCTGTTAAGAATTAACCGTGAGTTGTGAAACTGGGCCTTAAGGCCCAATTCCACAACTCACGGTTAACTGAATTGCGTAAACGTAGATCTAAGGTTATGGGGGTAGTAGTAGCAGTAAATGTTGCACAACATATATTAATCTACAATCGAGTAAAGATTCAACGAACACTCATCTTCAAATTGAACATTACTCACAACACTTTCTTCGTGTTTCATATTCGTAATATATCTGTAATATAATAAGCTCGTCAAATAATATATCATTGTAATGTATCATTACAATAATACCGATTAGCAACGCTTGCGTCAGTGCTACAACATTGTGTATAATTGTGTGGTTAACATATTGCATAAGTAGCAACAATTTCCTGGCAACAATATTGTTTTTATGAGATAATATGACTGTATGGTATACGAAAATGTGCTTCTTATAACTTTTATAGTGCTTTATGTAAGTTATTATTTAAACATTACACAATATTTAGCTCGATTAGCTTGTTAATCTATTAGAGTAGGTTAAAATGAAAATATACATATACATATATCCAGATAGCCAAGTGTGATATAGCATATTGTGCAAACTAATGCATTGCATATGTTGTTACATCTTTGTTGTACATTTGCTGACATCAAAATAGGACATATTATGGATACAACAACATGATTGCTTATACATGTAATCAATTGTCGAAATTTCTAGAGCAAACTGTAAGCAATAGTGGTACATTATGTTGTCAGCAACATGACAGCAACATGTTAGCAACGAATAATTAATGTTTTATTTTGAGCATCATGATGAAAATATGACACAGCAACAGAACATGTATAATAATTTCTATCCGTTGTTGCAAATATGTCTTCAAGCTATGAATTTTTTTAATTGTAGCTCGTTGCTAACAAAATGTTGACAATATAAAATGTCACACGTTTTCAACAACTTTTTCGCAAAAAGATATATATATTTCATATTTAAATTAAAAATACTAATTTAATTTATTCATATTTCTAATAATATATTGTTTTCTATAATTTTATAATTATGAATGTAATCTGAGTACTAGCTCATAAAAGATTCAAGTTTATTCCTATAATTACTTATGATTTAATATATGTATATTGCAATAAAATATATATCATCTGGTGTATATTTAAAAAATTGCAAGTTTATATTAATCATATTACGCGTAATAGTTAAATAAAATAAGAACATATTAAATAATAGATCCGGGAAAAAATGTTTTATATATAATTATATAAAACTATGTATAAAAACTTATATATATAATAATTATTAATATTATATAATAATTATATATAATTATATATAACATGCCATTTGAATCAGTGATGCAAACTCAAGTCCGCTTGTAGTTATTGCGATGTACTAGATGAAGTTTGCTTCATTGCAAAGAGACAGCAAACTTCCGTTCCTTAACAGCGTGTTGCCGTGTTTCACTTCTCTGAGTTGTTCTGAGGAATTCATTTGCGGTGGACGTGTCTCGGTTCGTGTGCCATTCTTTTGCATATTTTTATAATTGTCCCGCGGATCTGGACGACCAGTCTATTCGTCTTGTCGCGTGTCCGTGCGGCGTAACAACTTAGAACATAGACGCAGACGCCCGATCACCGGTGTCCGCTCGGGTTACGCCATTTTCGCGGGCACTGCATCATATTATATTTTGATTTAAGGCAATTTTTTGCGTGATTCAGGTATAGCGATCAAACTGTTCCGCGGCTAAGGCTATCTTCGTCTTTTGATGACGAAGATAG